ATAATGTTCATTATGTCATGATTCACATCATAATGTGAAATACACATTTGTTTTTAATTTAGTGCGTACATATGGACTTTTAAAACTAAATCTCTGTCTATGATCCTCCTTATTAAATTGAAACACATAAATTATGTAGATTTTAAGGTAATGATCTATTTCTGGCAATAAAAGTGACTTATAATGTTTTTAAATCAAATAGATCTTTACATTTCAAATTAAATAAATGAAGAAAGTAAACACATTTTTATTCTTCATCACAGCTATTCAATGAGTTTACCCCTGTAATAGAAACACATCTCTACTTTGTATTTGCACCTGTCTTAATTCATTAAGACTCCAGTTACAGTGCTGATACAGTTAGAAAGTACCCTTCTGTGTGCCTCCATTACTATCAGACCACAGTATCACTTACCGTACCACAAATGGGAAACAATATTGCTTAGTGCAGTAAAAAGGGGAAAGGATTCAGGCCCTGGTGGATTCCAGAGAATGTGCTCCTGAAAAAAAAGCTATGGACAATAAAAGTGAAAAAGGAAGCAGGCCATGTAAAAAGGATGATGAAGCAACAGCGTCTGACCCTATAATGACCATTTCTGCCTTCATATCAATTCAGTGTAATTGGACATATTCACAGTATCAACAAATGAGTGAAAAAGAACTGACTTGCGAGTAGAAAAAAAAAAAAAAGCAGCCTCAATACGTGCATGCTGTTGCAGCGGTCGTTGAAAGAAACTTCATCAACCCAGTCACTCTGCTACGTTCAGACATTGGATCACCCTGACTTCATGTGGACAATGATCTACGCAGCTGGCAGGAAAAGTCATGGTGAAAACATTGTCTGTTCGCTTTCACATGTGCAGCTCACCCTGAAAATGTTTGAGACATTATCAGGAATTTGCAAAGTCTTACTGTTATTAGAATCAAAACAGATGATTTATATAAAACTTTATATAGAGCTTTAGAGACCAAAATGTTTTTGTCTGCTGTAAAAAAAAATAGACATTTTATATATGCTCTAGTGAGGGTTCCTTGTTTTTTGCATCCTTCCTTTAGTGGACACTTGAAGAAGTGCAGTTTTTTGTTTTTTTCACTTTCAAACTGGTTTTATTTTTACAATAATAATAACTAATACTAACTAGTGCGCACGCCCCATGTATGGAGGCTGTAGTCCTCCAAGCAGGCGGCCCATGTTCAAATCCAGCCTGTGGCTCCTTTCCCACATGTCGTTCCCTACTCTCTCTCCCTGATTTCCGACTCTATCCACTGTCCTATCTCTACATTAAAGGCGCAAAAAGCCCAAAAATAAATCTTAAAAAATAAAATAAAATAAAGAACTCCCTCTCAGTAAATTATATGCGTGCTGAATCCTCAACATAAAAAATGCACAAAAGTTTGTCAGCACAACACCCCAAAAATCCAAAATTTCCACTTGTTTTCTCTATTTACTGCCCTTGGCGTTTAGAGCAAGGCCCTTCTTCAGTGGCTTCAGGAAAAACAAACTCAGACTGCACCAATGAGATGCACCGATAGATTGCCACAAAATCGCTCCCCGGCCGATATTGGCCCTTTTGACAGATTGCGGCAAATAATGATTATTTGTTGTGACAAATCAACTTAATGCTGGCATCTAGTACACCTCACTCCTGATTCCCAGAAGATTATTTTTATAGGGCAGATGAAGTCACCTGTTGAACAAACTCGGACTTGTTTGCTTCAACAAATATGCAAGAAAATGGCGGCATTGGAGGAGGCTAACGGCAACGCACATGATAAAAAGAACATCGGTATTGGCATCGGCCCTGTTTTTCCCAATCTGTGAAATTCTAGTTATTTCTGGTGCAGCTGTTTAGGTTTCTAGGCATCAGGGGTGGCACTTAGAAATGACAGCTTTAGGTAAGGGGATGGCTGGTGACACAAACAGGGAGTCCCCGGTAAACCAGACCATCTGATTCAGTTTGGTCTGAGTGGTCTAGTCAGGCTTTAAAGGTCACATATTTAGCAAAATCCACTTCGCCATAGTTTTCTAACATTAATATGTGTCCATAGTCTGTCTAAAAATCCATCAATAAAAAGAAAAGTTCATCCTCTCCATCTTTTCCCTGCTCCACTTTTCAGAAAATGTGTGCTCAAACAGGCCGTTTGGAGATTTTCCCTTCATGACATCACAAAGGGTAGTAGCCCCTCCCCCAGGTGGGTGACACTCCCACAGCTAGGTGTTTGTTCTGCCTTCTGAGTCTGCCTTCTCACCGTGAACAATAGGACATGGAGAGAGAAAGCATCGAGTACACCCAAGACCTTCCTGAGAGGGGGCGTGGTCAGACACAGCTCATTTACATATTTAAAGGTACAGACACAGAAACAGCCTGTTCTGAGCAGGGCTGAAATAGAGGGGTTTATAGGCATGATCAAATACAGGATCAGAGTGGATTTAGAACAAGAAACTTCACACACATGTTTAGAGGAGCTCTGAGACTTATTTACACTGGTTGAAGAGGAGGATAACATGTGATCTTTAAAGTCTGTGTCCTTCCAAGAAAGCTAAACCAAAATTGAGATACAGCCACAGTGATTGAAAAAAACGTCACTTCTGCACCTTTGGATGGATTATTTCACTTAGAAAAACTCCCAGACAGCTCAGATTACTAGTCAAATATCCAATTTATGACATCAAACATTTAAACTTTCTTTAACGTTCCTTTTCCCTGGTTTGAAGTTAATGCGGTAATATTCAATCTACCAAAAGTTCCTTATTTTATTTAATACTAAAACCAGCTTTGTTTGCTTTGCATCAAACAAACAAGTTTGAGGAGCTCTGGGAAAAGTGGAAATCATGCATCCATTGAGATCGTAGCAAAAGAAGAGCGTAGCTCTTTTTTGCAACGATCTCTTAATTTAAAGGTCACATATTCTCCTCCTTTTCAACCAGTTTAAATAAGTCTCAGAGCTCCTCAAAACATGTGTGTGAATTTTATTGTTCTAAATCCACTCTGATCCTGTATTTGATCATGTCTATAACCCCCTCTATTTCAGCCCTGCTCAGAACAGACTGACTGCCCTTTGGGATTAATCTCAATTTATCCTTTCAACTTCAGTTAACTTTTTTTACAATGTATCCAAACAGGACATAAAGTACCGAAGCTTAAGATAATACAAGAATTTAAAAAAAATAGCATGATGAAAACTTTTTTGAAATGCAAAATAATGGAATTTGAAACATGCGACTAAAAATGGCAATAATCACGACAGACAATCAAAACTCTGATTAATCGTGATTTCAAAGAACACTTACAGGCTAAGTAAGATAAAGGAGACAAGGAACATAAATAAAGATACATCCAGGGAAACCGTGACCCAGTGATAAATATCTTGTCCATTTTCAATATTAAAGTTTTCGGTCTGGCTGACTTTCTGTGTGTGTGTGTGTGTGTGTGTGTGTGTGTGTGTGTGTGTGTGTGTGTGTGTGTGTGTCAGGAAGCACTTTAATTAACCTGAAAGATAACCGAATGAGTAACAACCAAAGTAGACAGAAAACAAGAAGAAGACAAAACTGTCCCTCGATCTGTTTTACAACCCCTCCACACACACACACACAAACACACACACAAACACACACACACACACACACACACACACAGAAACACACACACACACACACACACACACACACACACACAAAGACAGACACACAAACACACACACAAAGACACACACACAAACACACACACACAAACACACACACAAACACACACACAACACACACACACACACACACACACAAACACACACACACACACACACACACACAAAGACACACAGACACACACAAACACACAAACACACACACACAAACACACACACAAACACACACACACACACACACACACACACACACACACACACAAAGACAGACACACAAACCCACACACACACACACACACACACACACACACACACACACACACACAAAGACACACACACACAAACACACACACACACTCACACACACACAAACACACACACAAACATACACAAACACACACACACACACACAAACACACACATAAAGACACAAACACACAAACACACACACACACACACACACAAACACACACACACACACAAACACACACACAAACACACACATAAGACACAAACACACAAACACACACATAACACACACACACACACACACACACACACACACACACACACACAGAAACACACACACACACACACACACACACACACACACACACACAGAAACACACACACACACACACACACACACACACACACACACACAGAACACACACACACACACACACACACACACACACACACACACACACAAAGACACACACACAACACACACACACACACACACACACACACACACAAAGACACACACACACAAACACACACACACACACACACACACACACACACACACACACACACAAACATACACAGACACAAACACACACACACACACACACACACACACACACACACACACACACACACACACACACACAAACACACACACACACAAACACACACACACAAACACACACATAAAGACACAAACACACAAACACACACACACACACACACACACACACACACACAACACAGAAAGGCATTTTGATTACAATGCGGCAAATTGAAAAAAAAACAATGTGTCCAAATAAAACGCGGGTAAGGTCTTTGTAACCTGCGACTGGATGCTTTTCCCCTCGGGATCAATAAAGTGTCTGTCTGTCATAATGAAGGTGCTGACGCCACCGGCAGTGAAAGGGTGAAAGGGTGCTGTCCGCTGTCCGTGGTGCTGGATCGCTGCTGTTTATCATTCCCATCATGCAGTACGTGTTTTTCATTGGTGGACGCTGAGGCTGTGTACTTCACAGGGTATAGGATAGGTGTGTTTGTGCTCATGTGTGTGTGAGGGCCGTTGGGGGGGGGTCTGTATCTATACCGCAGGGAGCGCGGTTGAATCGCGGCGCACGCCTCCTCGGATCTCCTCTTCCTCCCGTCACACCCACCGCTCGGTGTGGAGGGTTCACCCCGGAGAGGAGGGGAGGACCCACAGCGGCAGAGAGTGCTGCAGTGCGAGCGCAGCGGGAGACTCGCGAGCGGAGAGAATAACACACACACACGCACACACACACACACACACACACACGAACACAACAGACTCACGCACACCAGCAAGCCCCTTATTGTCGAAACTTGGTTCTATGGAGAGATCTGCAGCGACGCCGTAGCGACGCAGGCCGACATGGAAGAGTATTTGCGGAGGGTCCAGAGGAGGCTCGGGGTGAGTTAAACGCAGGTTGTGGCTGTAATGAATGAGACCATGACGGGCAGGCTGATACACCGCCGTGCTACAGGCTGCGTTCCTGTTGCTAGAAGGAGAAAAAAAAAAGCGCACGTCCCCTCGGTCCCCCCCCCCTGTACCTGTAAAAAAAAAGCACCTGTAGATTTACAAAACATATGACAGAGCAGGTGATAGGAAGGCTTGTTTGGCCCCGTTTCAATGAGCTCGTTGTGTTTCCAAGAGCGTCGGTGTGTGAATTTGAATGAGGAGCTGATTTCTACTGAGGGGGAGGCGTGACATCAACAAGTTTAGCCGGAGGCTCCGCTCCTGCTATCTGGTTGCTCTGCAGATACTGACTCATAATTTGCATTTGATCCTGAGCTGGATATGTGTTCACACTTTAAAAAAAGAGAGAGAGTGAGCCTCATGCAAATACTGAACAGCCTAATGTATATAGACTCTGAGGGACACATGTTTGCATATTGTTTTAAATTATAGATGTGTGATTCCTTTCTTTTTTTACCTTTCTTGAGTCTGTCAGAGGAGCATCACTTGCACAAATGCTCACTCTGTCATGGACCATTCACATGCCTTAAGGCCCTGAGCCATAGGGGCCCTAAATGGCTCCTTCTACATGTGCTTGTTTAAAAAGCATGACTACATTATCAGCGGCCATGACAGTATATTTCCTCTCTTCCTAGGGGTATTCTTCATGATTCATGTTTTGCCTTTCGAGTGGACTGTACATTTGTGTTTCCTCTTTGATTATTTTTGATGAAAGCACGCCCATGCACCCGTCAACTCCAGGAGTCGATCAGAAATAGTCAGAATCAGCTTTATTGACACATACGAGGAATTTGACTTTGATAGACTCTGTATACAAAAGTATAGATTTAATTATTAAACTATGAATAAATAAACAAACAAGAACTAGTACAAGACTATAATTGTGTCTCCTGTCAGGTACCAAAGGTTATTCAACGGTATTGATACTATAGGGGGGTTGAGGTTGTCACTTCAATACGATACGAGAAAATGTACGGGCAATGTCTTTTTTTAATTACCAACAATGCAAGCAAACTTCTGCACACTGTCTACATTTTATAAATACATTTTTGCAATTTTAGACAGTGTTACCTCTATGAGAGATGGCCGACCACCATTACTCTCTCTCTAAAAATTTACAGAAAATCTGTAGTTTTTTTAAAGCTTTGTTGCTTTCCAATACCATCGATCATTAAAAATCAGACAATTATTTCGTTTTGAAACACTTGGTAGCAAAAAAGTATCACCCATTTGGACGCCATTCATGGAGATGTTGCTGTTTTAGTTCTGTTGTATTACAAAGAAAAACACAAATAGTCACCCAAATACATCAATAGTCATCAAAAACAGTGAATGTTAAGTCTTGTATTTGTACATGTTCACATGTTTTACTCATTTTTCTTTACTATTGTTGTCATTTTTTTAAAACTCATTTACCAGTCACATGACATAGATCCCTTTAATTCACACGTTTTGAAGCCTGTGGTATCCATTTTATTCAGAGTCATTAGGGGATATCTCCTCCTTGGCAACAATGAAGCTGATCCGGAGCTGTTTGGAAAAAAATCATATGATCTTTATCAGCAGATGAGGATCATGTGATATGATTAAAATATTACTTCCAGTCACAGAATTGTAGAAATCTATATTTGCTTTCACATTTGGGGTGCTTTTAATGATTAAACACTGAGACTCAATGATTCTTGACCGTACAGGAGTTAACCAGATGATCGAAACAGACTTCAGTAGCTGTTCAAAGTGCTTTCAATTCATTCACACATCCTGCATATCAACAGGTACAGATTGTGTAAGTGCAATCTCAGTGTACCTTATACTGCACAGGGCAAGTCTCACGTTATATCTAAGCATGTAAAGGCTGAGATAAACATTTCACAGAAAGTCCAAAGTGAACACTTTATGGTTACTTAGGTGATAACAGGTAGTAATGATGGGTGAAGTTATTCATGTGTACAAGACAAAGATAAGCTTGTAAGAGCAGTTTTAGTGATAAATAGATGTAAAACATGCATTCAAAGCTGTAACAGTATGAAAAAGAATGACTTTAAATTGATACTAGAATGCCTATAACAACGTTTAGAGAAAGCAGCTGTGAAGAAACGTTCACTTTGTGTTGTTTTATGTGACTAAACGGAGGCTGAATTTCCCTCGGGATCAGTATTTGAATTTCCCTCGGTATCAATAAAGTATCTATCTATCTATCTATCTGTACAGCTCCTAATATGGCTTGGGTTTGCATTTCTTTTTTAAGCAGGTTACAAATAAGTCAAAACTTATTTTTATAAGCTATTTTTTTGCAGGATTGTGTAGCATTGACTCAATCTATTTATGTCTATGTAAACATTGTAACTGTATCGTTTAAATGAGGTTAACCTTGTTTAAGATCAGTTCACACACTTAGTTCATCCCTCATCTTACAGATGTGTTTGCTGTGTTGTTGACCTTCAGTTGATTAAGCTGCAGTTATCAACATTTCCATGTAATGTTAGATGTTCATGTTAATATACCATCAGCATAATACCGATCAGTAAAAAGCCAAAATAGTTTGACACAGTCAAGTATTGAAATATAACCAGTGTTGGGCACGTTACTGAAAATTAGTAAGTAGCTACAGTTACTAGTTACTACTATTAAAATGTAACTGGGTTATCATATTCATGTTCATATTATTTAGTGTTGCTGTGGCAGAATTGAGAATTGACAGAATGTGACAACTTGCATGTTTCAGATAACACTGCAGTCATTTTCAGTTTGTTGGTATTTTACAGATTATCGATCAAATCTCTACATTTGATATGACGCATGTTGCCGTCAACATATCAGTCTATCAGTCTATATAGTCTGGATTACAGATTGTGGAGCTGGTGGTGTTTTAAGTCAAGCCTGCTGTTTGCATGGAGTGTCTCCTCATAGGTCTGTAGAGCTAAAATGAGTCTTGGATGTCTGCAGCGCCGGGGCTCTCTGACAGTTGGTTTAATACAGTACAGTACGTTGTTGTTTAGCTCTCTGACAGCTAGTTTAGTAGAAGTGTGTTGTTGTTGTTGAGCTCGGTGTTTTTGTTCTTGTGACAGAAGTTTTTCTTCCTGCACACAGACTAAAACTCACTGCTATATTCTTGTTTTTTTTTTACTTGAGCAGGAAAAATAATGTTGGTTTGCAAGACAGAAAGTTTACAGCTAGAAGACCACCTTCCTGTGTTTGTTTAAAGGCTTTATATGCAATTTTTTGATCCAGCAGATGTCGCCCTTGAGCACCAGCATGAAACCAAAACAACTCGCGGTGCATTGTTGTGTTAGCATGCTAATGCTAACGATCTTTATTATGCTGGTATCTTCACACTGCATGTAAATTTACCTGAAATGAGCGTGATCTAGAAACACAGTTAAGCAGTGAGTACAGTATGTTATTCTTCTTTTCTCTAGTCACTCAATTAAACAACTTTTATACACGAGGGGAGGAGTCAGCCGGCCGTCCAGGCGATGTAAACAAACTGAAGATAGGACTCTGAAAACTCTGAAAACATCACAGACAGTGGGACTCAGGTGTTACACCCATTGTAGACAGTCATGACTCACAGAGTTATTTTCACAGGATATACTTGATTTCTACATTTAAGTGTGAAAAATCACATGTAAAGCCTTTAAAAACACAACATCAATAAAAAAAAAGATAAGAGCACCATGATGCACGCTTTTGTACATCCAATACAGACTTAAAAGTCCATGTTTTTCTAACACTAATATGTGACCCTAGTCTGTTGGAAAAAAAAAACAAATAATGAGAAAAGTCCATCCTCTCTGTCTTTTGCCTGCTCCACTTTTCAGAAAATGTGTGCTCAAACAGGCCGTTTTGGAGATTTTCCCTTCATGACATCACAAAGGGCAGTAGCCCCTCCCCCAGGTGGGTGACACTCCGACAGCTAGGTGTTTTTTCTGCCCTCTTAGTCTGCCTTCTCACTGTTCTTGATCAGGCATGATGCAAGAAAGCCCAAGCCACATCCTCTTCCAGAGAGGGGGCTGTGGTCAGACACAGCTCATTTGCATATTTAAAGGTACAGACACAGAAACAGCCTGTTCTGAGCAGGGCTGGAATAGAGGGGTTTATAGACATGATCAAATACAGGATCAGAGTGGATTTAGAACAAGAAACTTCACACACGTTATGAGGAGCTCTGAGACTTATTTTAACTTTTACAAAAGGAGGATAATATGTGACCTTTAAATCATTTATTTAAAGTTTGGATTTTGGTAGGCATAGTGTTTTTTTAGAGCAGTTCGGCGACAGCAAAGATACCAGTCCTTTGTGGGGCAGGCATAGCATTTCAATAATGGACCGCAGGGTGTTTAAAATATTCAAAAGATTCAGTCTATTCATGTTAACAGATTGTTGGGGCAATACAAACACGTTTGTATAAAACCTGTCTCAAGTGAGATCGAAGGAGCTAAGCCCTTTTTTATCAGGGATATACTTCACATTCACATGAGGAAAGCTGAGGAGAGGGAAAAGATTAAAGGAGCAAATCCTCAGATAAGAGCACAGCTGGGTAATTTAGTGATAAAGAGGGCTACTGATGAGTGTCATGGCGGCTGCAGATAAAGTGTAACACATGTCATGATTATCAACCATTTGTCTCACACGCACACACATTGTGCACACAGACAGACTTTATCTCTTGGTTCTCGGGCTCTCTGATATCAACTTTGATGGGTTGCTGTTTTGCTGACCACTCTCTTCTCTCTGTCATTCCCTTTCTCCTCTCTCTCTCTCTTTGCACGCTGTATGGCCCTCGTCCAGCACATCCATACCTCTAATTGGCTTTGCTCTGAGTGCTGACCGAACCCGTCCTTCTCTCTCTCTCTCTCTCTCTCAGTTTTTTTCTGTATTGCTTCATCATAGGGTACAAAGCTGAGGTGATGTGCTGAGTGGACTTCCAGCAT